GAGTGGCGGCTGTAGGCACGGTGGTTGGCACTTGATGGCGCTGCGAAGAGAACACTTGTTACACTGAGGCAGTCTCAGGACTGAAGGCCTAGATAAGAACAGCATTGCTGGAATCAATATTCTGCAGGATGCCTTGGTTAGCCTTAGAGATGTCATGGGCTGCAATATAGAACAGTGGCCGATTAAATGTCTGTAATAGAGAACTGTGAGAAGAGATTGGATTTGTCGAAAGAAAAATTACATTTTCAAAGGTGGCAGAATAACTCTAATAAAAGCCTCTTTTAATCTTCGATCTACTTCTTCTCAATCTTCAAAGTACCTGTCAAGGTTACAGACCACATTGAGAAGCTTCAGCGTGATTTCTTGTGGGATGGAGGAGAAGGAAATAAAAGAGATCACTTGGTTAGTTGGAAAGTTGTTTGCAACCCTAACATAGGAAGGCAGTTTGGGTTTGGGTCACATTAAGGAAAGGAACATTGTGCTGCTTGGGAAGTGGTCTGGAGAAAGGAAACTGATAAAAACACTCTTTGGGCCTCTGTTATCTGCAGCAAATATAGAAGGTATGATGTTGGAGGGGGCTCCTCTCAAATACTCAATAAATTTTCTGCTTCAAATCCTTGGAAGGGTATTGCCCAAGTCCTCCCTCTTTTTTTCTAGTTCCATTCGTTTTAGTGTGAGAAATGACAATCTCGCCCACTTTTGGACTGATGTTTGGTGGGGCTTCCTTCCCCACTGTGAGACCTTCCCTAACTTGTTCGGCCTCACCCTCAATAAACAAGCTTTGGTTTCGTCTGTCCTAGTCCTTGAAAATCACAACTTGTCCTTTAACTTAAATTCCCATAGGAACCTAAATGAACAGGATATTGCTGATGTTTCTCTTTTAATTTCTCCCTTTAAAGATGTCTTCATCTCTCCCTCTATTCCTAATAAGCTAATCTGGTCCCTCACCTCTAATGCCATCTTTACAACCAAATCTTTTTTCAGCAACCTAGTTGCTGGACCCACCCCCTTCTCATTTCTGGACGGAAAAGTTTGGCTCTCCTTGGTACCACTCAGAGTCTCCTTTTCGTTGGAAGCTGCCTGTAGTCAGATCAATACTTTGGACAATCTCCATTGGAAAAGGAAAGGAAAGACTTTCCTTTCACCCCATGTTTGCATTTTCTGCCTAAAGAATGGTGAATCAATCGGCCACCCCCTTATAAATTGTATGGCGGCTCATGAATTATGGCAGTACTTCATAGACTTATTGTGTGATGATAACTTTCATTGGATCCTTCCTAACACCATCTGTGATTTCATCCACCAATGGATAGGAAGTAAAATGGGAAAGAAGGGAAGGATCTACTGGAAGGTAATAATTCATGCAGTGATGTGGGGAACACAGTAGAAGAATTTTTGAAAATAAAAGCACTTCCTTGACTAACCTGGGAGGGAATATCCTTTCTTTAATTATCTCAGTAATCAACTATGTAGATAGAAGTCTTACAGAAATCCTTAAATTCTACTGCTTACATCTTGTAGTTTGGTGGAAGTTTGAGAAATACTGGGGAAGTTGAGGCTGGAATTTGGGGGGAGGGGTTGTGTTATCTTGATATCCGATGGATTTATGATTTGGGATTTTAGTGGTCTTGTCACTGCAAGGGATGCTTCTGAAGCTGAAGTTCAATCTCTTATTTAGGGTCTCAGGTTTGCTAAAGATCTTCTCTCTGATTCCTTGCTTGTGGAGAGGGATTCTAGGATTGTGATCGGTTGGGCAATCAGTTTTGGTACAGGCCCATGGAGGCTGGCTCATTCCCTGCATGAAATTCATGATCTTTCATCCCTTGGCTTCTGCTTTAGATGGATTCCGAGAAATCTGAACCAAATAGTTGATTTCTTACCTAAATCGGGTCAGGAGATAAATTTTTTGTATAGTGCTAACAGCTTAAATATGTCTTGAGTGGGCTCTTGGCTTTTTGTATCAAAGCCCTCCTTTTCTTGTATATCCTTTTAGTATTTATCTCCTCCTTTTGAATATAATAGTTGCCTTTTCTCAAAAAATTAGAAAAAAAACTGCAAAGTACTTTCATATTTTATTTCTTCTCCTAGACTGCATTTTTATTTTTCAATTTATAATTCTTTTCTGGATTGTCTTATATTTGACATCATTGCGTTGATGTGATATAATTTCTCCAATGTAGGTGAATGACAAAGATCTTTCGAAGGAGCTATATAAAAAATATAGTGCAGTAAGTGTTACCTCTAAATTAGTTCTATGTTCATCTACTGTATTTTTATTTGTTTAGTTTGCAAGATATATGATATATGTTTTCTTTCTGTAGATCCATAGGCGTAAAGTTCGTGCATGGCAAATGCTATGCATATTGTCACGGTTTGTTGATGAAGATATAGTTCAAGAAGTAACCTCTAGTTTGCACATATGTTTATATGTAAGGATGCCTTATCTTAATCTTTCTGTTTATCTTTTTAAGTTCTTTATGTTTTGGTTCTCTTGCTTGCACAAGAGGTATGCGTGCAATGGCTTCTGGTATAAAGGGGTAAAATACCAGCATGAGTAGCACCATGGGGTGCCTAGTTGCCTAGTAATTCTATAATATAAAGAAATGACTTTTGGCTTGGCAATAAGAATTTCGTTATTTCAAAAATAATATAATGAGTATTTGATAGATCAATTTCATATCAATTAGCAACTAAAGAAGATTTTTAACATTATATGATAAAAATTCAAGATGGAAGGTAAAGTAGGAAAAAAAAAACAATGCAGTTGCTGTTTTATTTAATTGAAGAGAGAAGGAGAATAGAAAGAAAAAAGGAACTTCTATACTTCTATTATTTCTTTCTTTCTTTTTCTCTCCTCAAAACCTTTTGATCTTTTAAATTTCAATAGTAAAACATCAAAACAAAGTATAAATGATATATAGTATATAATAGAATGTATTCAAACACATATTAATAAGATGTATCAATATAAATGATATTATAATAAGGCATCCACCTTGTCATTTTTGTTGTCTAGGCGGGCACCTAGTTACCATAAGTCAAGGCATTTGGGCAAGGCGACCAGCCAAGGGAACCTAGGCGATGCCTTGACAACTATGGTTAGTAGTTGTAGTCATTACTGTCTGTTTTAATATTATATAATGTTATGTAACTTGACAATTATGTCCTATCTTAAGTTGAGTGTCCCATACTTTTGAGGGCATAATGGTCATTCCTTCTTTTTGAGCAATCTATAAGCAATTAAGCATAGGTCAACTGGGACAGGAGAAGACTAGTTGATCCCATTCGGTTCCTTCTTTATTTCTCTCCTTTTCCCTCTTTTTTCTCCCATCTCTCTTTTCTCTTGTTTTTTCCCTTTATTGCTGCTGTCTACAAACTTTCAGCTATGGTAACATGGTATTGGATCATATAGAAGGACGCAAGAAGGGCAGCAATCATAGATTTCAAGGCGCCAAGGCGAGGCTAGGTGACAGGGGGGCTCCTTGTTGCCTAGTCACCTAGGCAATGGTTTTTTTTTTTTTTTAAAGTAAAAATCACATATCCTAGGGTAGTTCCCTAGGTTCCATAACCAACTTTCTTTAATAACTGAACTTGATGTTTTAAGTCTAGAAAATCAACAAATTTATGAGAAGAAAAAGAAGAAAGGAAAGAAAATCCAAAAAATATAGGGGCTGAACCATTATTTTTGTTATAGGAAAAGAAGAAATGTGTTGATTAGACAAAATTTTAAGTTCTTCCCTTACTTATTGGTTCAGATTTTGAAGTCATTGAGGGTTCAATACAGCTAGGGGTGAGCAAAAAAAACCAAACCGAAAAATCGGTTAACCAATATAGAAAACTGGCGGTTAACCGAACCAACCGATACACATATATTTCTATATATTTATGTATATTATATATTTTATATTTTATATATTATAAATTAATAAATATGAATTATATATAAATATATATTTATAATATATGATATATTATTTATTAATCAAAATATAATATTTTATATATATTTATAATTTTTTATTATATATTTATATATATTTTATAATATATATTGTAAAAATTAAAAAACTGAAAAACCGACGAACCGGAAAACGGTTAACCGACGGTAGTACCAGTTCTGTTAAAAAAAAAGCCCCACGGTTCGGTTAACCAAATCGTGAGCACCCCTAAATACAGAAGTTAGCAATTTTTCTGTTGATTAAACCCTAACAAATAAGAAAATAATAAAAAGAAAGTAGTTTATAAACATAAAAAATGAATATTTTTATTTAATAATGTCTATTTTTTAATTATAATCTCAAAACGAATAACAATATAGAAGTATTTCATTATTTCGGTTTTTCATTTATTTTTTTGGTTTATTTGGTTCAGTTTTTAACTGAATAAACCGTTTTCTCACCCCTACCAAAGGCAAATCAAAGTATTTGACGGATGAGACTTAAGCTGATTCAAGTGGGTATAATGAGTGGGAGCAAGAAAATGCTCAAACTATAGCATGGTTATGGAATAGTATGGAGCTGAAGATAAGCATTATTCTTATTTCTTAGATACTGCAATGGAGACATGTGAACATGTTAGAAGTTTATTCTGATAGGATAAATACTACAAGAGTATTTTAACATACAACAAGGTAGTCAAAGCCTTGAAGAATATTATGCCAGCATGAGGAATCTTCAAAATGAGTTTAATATGTATCAACACTTGACCTCTAACATTAAGGTTCAGCAGTAGCAGTGGAAACATCTTGATGTGATGTGATTCTTCTTGGGTTGGAGACAAGTATATGGACCTATTCGGACTCAGATCTTGGGAAGTCAGCATTTGTGATTGGTACATTCTCCTTCTAGATTATGTCCTTAGAGTTGTTTACAGTCTCCATTAGGAAGGAGCTTTGGATCAGTGATGATGCTACATCTAACGGGTTGTTAACCTAAAATTTACTTTTGATAATCAACTTGTGAGTTTGATTTTTTTTTTTTTTTGAACTTTTAGTTTTGGACATGTGTAGAAGCATATCACCTGTTGTCGACCTCACATTTATTGTTATAAATTGTCAGATTCTGTTACCAGTCTCCATAATTCATGTAGTGTTGTTGCACTCTTCCATCCATGAATTCAATTTTTCTTCCACGATAACTGAGGAGTATACCATAGCTGAGGTTTAAAACCTTGCGCATACTAATTGGTTGTTGGGTCTCAAGTTTTGTTCATGTTGGTCACAGCTACAACATATGCTTTATGTGAGTTTGGAAAAGTCAAATTTGATCATGGATTGTTTGCCGAGTTTGCATTCTGTTTAACTTTTCTGGCTATGCCCTAGAATGATGTTATCTGAAGATGAAAGGGTTGACACCAAAATTATTTTGAATTTACTATTTCTACCTATGGTCTTTGACATAATTGGAAAGAAAGCAATCTTTAAATATTTATAGTACTTTTTGTTGTGTGACCATAATATTAGTATTTGTTATTTGAGTTGAATAATTCATAAAGCTTAACTATTGCCTTCTCTTTTCTTGCAGAGAAACAACTTGCCTGCTGTTCGACAATATTTGGAAACATTTGCAATCAATATTTACTTGAAGTTTCCTTTTCTAGTAAGTGGTTTTGTTATGCTTTGTGAAGACTCTAGTCCATCCTTCTTCATGGTTATTTTATTAAAAGACATTTCATGGTGTAGCTTGTATGAAACCTTTGCATTTAAGTTTGAAGAAATTATTTTATACCTAATCAGCATTACTTGTTGGAAGCACGTTGTTGGTGTTTGGGTTCCATTTAGAGAATTCATCCTACCAAAGGGAATCCATGAACGAACTGTCATGAATTCATGGCATTGAAAATATCTAGATTTGTATTTTGTGTCTTAGTGTAAATACTATAAGAATCTCAAATTGAATCTAATACCATTGAGTCTATAATGAAAAACTCTCCAAAATTACGATTTATTAGATTCTAGCGTTCCTTTTTCTATTCACTGTAGGCCTTTTGTAAACCTGCTAACTCCATCTTGCAGCCTGTCAATATCAGCTGGTACTATTGTCTTTGCATCAGCATGAATAGATGAAGAGATTGGGTTCACATTGGTACCAACTTGTAATATTAATATAATGTGAATTGTCATTGAAACAAATGATGTCAACCGGCAGTATGGTGCCTATATTTAAGAACAAATGTGATATACAAAGTTGTAATAACTATTGGGGGATTAAACTTATGAGCTACACTATGAAACTTTGGGAGAGAATAATTGAGCAAAGATTACAACTTGAAAAAAGTGTACTAGAGAACCAACTTGGCTTCATGCTAGGGAGATCCATAGAAGCTATATTTCTTTTGTGACGAATGATAGAAAAGTTTAGAGAGAAGATCTTCATATGGTGTTCATTGATCTAGAAAAGGTTTATGATAGAGTTCTTAAAGAGATAATATAGTGGATCTTTAGGGGGCAACAACTAGTGTTAGAACACCAATTGGAGAGACTTAAGGTTTTACAATTATGATGGGTCTTCACCAAGGTTCAACACTTAGCCCTTATCTATTTATAGTGATCATAGATGAATCAATTAAGCATATTCAGGAAGAAGTCTTATGGCGCATGTTATTTGTTGATGACATTGTTTTAATTGATGAAACTAATGAACGATTAAATGCAAAATTAAGTAATAATAGGAGTGTAATACACTTAGGATTGGAGACCAAGAGATAACTCAGTGTGACCATTTCCACTACCTTGGTTCAATAATTCATAACAAGGGAGAGATTGGGAGGATGTCACCCAAAGAATTAGAGCAGGTTGGGCAAAACGGAGGGGTGCATCTAGACTTTTGTGTGATAAGTGAATACCACTTAGATTAAAATGAAAATTCTATAAAACAATTGTAAGGCAAGCTATGTTGTATGTGAAGGAAGGGGAAATCCATCATATGGATAGCCGAACCGTGCAGGGTGGCTGGGCGAAATTTCAAAAAATTTCTTTTATCCCTTTCGGGAATCGTATTCCCTGTTTTAGAAAAACTGCATTTTTCAATGATCGTTCTTGAACCAAAACGGACCAGATCTGAAACCAAAAGAAAGGGAGAGCAATAACTGATATGGAATCCACACGTGTAGCTCCCAAAGTAGGTGTTCATGCCCAAAGAGGGTACCAAAACCCGCTTCCACTGAAGATGGCGCAGCTTGAGATGAAGCAGGTTCAGTAATGCAGTCCTTTAGCAAAAACTACAATCCAACAGCTTGGATCAAGCAAGGGATATGAGCACAAGTTTATTCTGATATTTTCTTGCAAAAAATCAGAATCAGAACTGATCTCTATCAGTTCAAGAATGGAGGTCGAATTAGGGTTAGGGCGGCAAGAGCAGGAGAGAGGGAGAACTGAGAGCAGTCTGTAAACTTGGAGCAGTTTGCCCACCTCTATTTATATAGATCTTAAAGAGTTGATCTCCTAATCTAATTAGGAGTTTCCTAATCCAAATCTTTATTTGGATCTGGACTCTTTAAGTGGATAAGACGTATCCTCTTATCCTTATCTGCTGATCCAAACCCATATCCATACCCAAATTCGCCCATGCTGATTAATCCAATTAATCTTTGGGCTTTAGGCCCATTAAGCAGGTAGCTCACGTCCCTTTATTAATTGCTAGCTAACTTGGCTCTCTTTGTATGGCGTGGGACCCTAACATTGACCTCACAAAAGCCATATGGGTTCAGCCTAACCTCTGTTACAAAGCCTGGCCGAATTCACTGCTAAAATACAGTGAACCCCTGAGTCCATCGATATGGACTCTTAATGGGCCCAACATTTACACTAAATGGTCCTTGAGTCCAGCCATCTTATGAAGGCCCAAGGACAATGGTCTTAAGTGAGATTAGCCCATCAGGTATAAAAACCCTAAATGGTCTTACACTTAACCTCTCAGTCCTTAATGATCAAACATTGCCTGACAAGAGAGGACCTCTCCCTCGGCTGCAAGGTATAGTGTTGCACTCTCTGCTCGGATGGATCCCGAGAATTAAAACATTTTTTCTTAAAACATAATATATATATATATATATTTCATATAAATATATTTTGCAAAACGAATCTCAAACACGGTTGAAATCGACTGCTGGTAGTTTTGGTTTCCATCAGAGAGTGTACAGTGCCCGATCATTCACTTTGTCCGACAAAGGGGCTGATCCTATCACTATGATCACCCACTCGAGTGAATTCTTAGATTGCCCCAACATACCTAAGTCTTGACCCCCGAAGGATCTCACTGATTGGCATATCAAAGACAGCCTAATCCGACACCTAGTGCAGTACCATAATTGAGTCTAGGGGTTAGGTGTAACTTTTCAGTTTTGTCCACTAGTCTCCAAGGTCCAGGGCATAACTGGAAAATGGTCTGGGTTCAGTGTTTCAAGGAAAGACACACTACATGTGCTTCGGGTCTCACCCTAGCAACTGATTGTAACCCTTTGTTATTATTTAAAAAATTTCTTGCTGATAAAAAAAAAAAGAAATGAAGAGTCATAATTTAATAACAGACATGGCACTAAAGCATCTTTTGCAATTTCAATATTAATGGACATTTTTGCCATATAGTGGGGAAATTTTGGGGGCATTTTGCTAACTTCATAGATATTTGGAAAATATAAAAAGTCAAAGAAAATTTCCTGAAAAATGAACTTTGCTAATAAACCTTAAAGGAAATGTTAGAAGTATAATTGCACATTTAAAGCTAAGAAACCATGACAAATAACAATATGAATCAAATAGAAAAGATTAAGAGGCTTCAATATTTCTCTCCCTTTTAGTCTTTTATCTATCTTCTCTTTATTATGTATATTATTTACTTTCCATTTTGACTTTGTCTTTTCTGTCACTATATGTTTTCATTAGATTAAGAATCCTCTTTCGTAGTGGTACTCCTACTTGTTTTTGAATTATACTGACTTAGTGAGTCGTATCAAAATGGTAAACCAATAATTCAATCACCAAATCCTCATTTGTTCTTTTAGGAAAAGATTTAGAAAAAAAAAAAGACTATGTTCATTAAATGAAACATCAGGGGACTTTGGGAGGGGCCTTGATGTATCGGGGGGGACTTTAATGTGATCAGGTTAGTTGAGAATACCAATAAAGATAGGCTGAGAGTCACTAGTAGTATGAGGAATTTCAATGAGTTCATAAATGTTATGGGATTTAAAGAGCTGCCTTTGTTGCATAACAAATTTACCTGGTCCAATTTACAGGCTAACCCAATTTGCTCTAAACTTGATAGATTCCTATTCACAGGGGATTGGGAGGATCATTGGGGGGATTTGGTGTCAAAAGCAATGTTTTAAAAGGCTAAAGGTGTAGTTGAGGCGTAGGCCTCAAAAATTAAAAAAGTAATTAAAATTTATAAATGATAAAACTAACATATAACATATCAAGTTAGAATAATGGAAGGTACAAATATTCATAAAGTAGAAGTTTATAAGCAACAATCTTTAACTTTTAAACATTAAATAAAATAATAATTAATCATCTAACAATTATGTTAGATTTTATGTTTCAAAGTAAAATAGAAGTGTTTTACATTTTATGTTTCAAAATGCAATCTTACGAAATTATTCATATGAAGCATCATCTATATAATGAGCATTAGATTTATAGTCAATAAAAAAATAAATCCATTAGGAAAATAAATGATAAAAACAACAAACTTGGGATGTTAAATTAGAATATTAAGGAAAAAAATCTACTTGATTTATCCAAGAGAAACTAATAACTTGTTTGGCCCTTTTTTTTGGATTGAACTCTCTTAAGATAAAATACCAATATAAACTAATAGAACTTGATTTTCCCTATTAGTTTCTCATTTTTTATTCTTTTTATTTGGCCCATAATTATTAAAGTGCTTTTTCTATACATTTTGAACTATAAAAAATACATAAAATATGTATTTTTTTGCATGGAATCACTAAATAAACGTTGATATTTGAGGCTTATGCTTTTTTACGTCTCATTCTGACAAAGGCTTAAGCCTCAAACCAAAGTTGTGAGGCTTAAGCCTTGAGGCAAAATCTGAGTGCCTCACCTCAAGGCGTACGCCTCACGCCTCAAGGCTTAAGCCTTTTAAAACAATGGTTAAAAGCTCTACCTAGGGTTACTTCCGATCATTGGCCTATTTCCCTAGTTGAGGAGGACTTGAGGGGGAGGGGTCTAGCTCCTTTTCGTTTTGAGAAAGTCAAGGAGGGTGGGAGGGTAGCAACCCAAGGGTAGATTGGGAAGGAATGAAGTTTCATCATAAGCTGAAGGACCTAAAAACGAAAATAAAGGAGTGGAACAGTTAATAGTTTGGGAGGTTGGAGGAGAGGAAACAAGAGTTGATTAACTGGATCGTAGCCTTGGATGCCAAAGAAGCTGGGGGCACCTTTGGGGTTGGTGACAAAGAGCAGAGGTGGTCTCTGAGGAGACTTTTGGAAGATATTTTGTTTAAAGAAGAGATAAATTGGAGGCAAAAATCTAGACACAAGTGGTTAAAGGAAGGATATTGAAATACAAAATTTTTCCATGTGACAGCAAGCAATAGAAGAAGAAATAAAGGAGGCAGTTTTGGTTGGACAGGAG